TGAACAGGAGAATCGAGAGTACGAAGAGAAGACAAAGTGGATGAATCATGAGTCATATGAAAAGATGCTCCAGTATCAAGAATCCACGGAGATATACCTGACTGTGTAGAAGGTGGTCTCTCAATGCCAGAAGAGTCAGTAGCAGAACTAGCAGAACCTGTCGATGAAGAACCGGAAGATGGAGCTAGAAGGCATCGAAGTCGCACAATCTCCTGCTCGGTCAGGGGCTCAACTGAAGGGGTCGACGAAGATGCACCCGACGACAATAGAGAGCCGGAGGTACTCAGCAGGGCGCGAAGTCGCGCAATCTCCTCCTTAGTGAAGGACGGAGCTGAAGTAGTCAACGCAGTAACATCAGGAGATGAGCGGCCGCCACCACATGTGGAATCCGCTAAATGTGGCGGTGGAGCATAACCAGCAGCGTCCGCAAAGGCTAGTGAAGGAGACGAGGCTGTATGCAGACAAGCACCAAGCGCCAAAGGAAGATGCATGGGCAAGACGCAGTCGATGAAGTCATATGCACCAGCACAGCCGGTGCAAGTCGCGAGAGGAGTCGATGTAGAGCGACAATCACCATGTGCGAAGATCGCAGGAGGAACCGCGGAAGAGCGACCAACACGGCCTGCTGAACTCGCCTCAAGGGACGACTGTATAGACGGACGAGCACCAAGAACCGATGAAAAGCACATGTGCGAGACAGGATCGGTGTAAGGAACACCGAAAACACCATCAGAAATCATTGAAGCGCGGGCGAGAGACACCAGCCTGGAGGAAGACAGCGCCAGCACAGAAACGGGGCCGGCAAGATCCGGTGGGTGACGGCAGAATCCGGCGGCGGCACGAATCAATCCAAACAGAGGGCGGCCGAATCAAGCCTGCGGAGGTAGCGGCCTTCACGGGAGCAGTGGCGGAGACAGGGGGGACCAGCAGGGGCCCTGGCCCCCCCTGACATTAGGAGTTTGCTGCTAATTCACTGATGAACAGTGCGTAATTAGCAATTTTTTTATGCTTAAAGTCTATTTTTTCTATGCTTTGGCCCTCCCCACCCTATTTTGACTGCAATCGGCCCCCCTAATTCAAATTTCCTGGCTCCGCCACTGCACGGGAGTGTGCCGTGGGAGCAGCCTGAAGAAGCCTCGAGCGATGCGGGCGAAGATCAAACAAGAGCTGGAACCAAGAGCATCACGTGGGAAAGCAGCAGCAAGTGGACAACTTGGGCAGGCACACGTCACATGCAGGAACACCACGTGCAGGTGGGGAAGCACACGTCACGACGGGCAGCTCCAGCTATGCTCACGATCGGATGAAGCCCCGCACAGATCGAGCAGCAATCCCGCGCGTACCAACAAGGCTGTCGGGCATGGATGCGTCCAAGCGCAGCAGCGGATCAGGGAGGCAGCAAGCCAAGCGCAACAGCGGCGCCTAGGCGGGAGTGGCGGACGGCGTGGAGCAGCGCAGCCGGAGAGAGAAAACGCGGCGGCGCGATGGGATCTTAGCACGAGTTGCGCGTGCAAAAAAAAACCTAAAACTCTAATACCATGTTAGGAATATGCAACTTGTATTTCCATGGGGCCATAGGCCAGTATATATACATGTACAGGTGCAGGTAATATGCAGAAAACCCCTTATACAATAGGGTAAAGACAAAAGGCTACATGGCTATATATATATATAACTCTAATAGCGTCAAGGGGCGACGGGCGAGGTCGCGTAACCGGAGTTGCTGCTGCTGCCCTGGTACAGCCGCGACCGCCTCAAAGCAATGCAGATGGCGATTTCCTCCACATCGCCCGACTCCGCATCGGGCACAGTAGGCTCGCCCACTTATCGGAGCCGCCGGATCCACCACCAGGGCCGCCGCTGCTGCCTGCGCTGGCCATCGATCGAAAGTGGAGGGGACTGGGAGTGGAAGAGACGGATAGAGAGAGAATGGAGTGAACTGATTGACTTCGATCTAGGGTTCGTGGCAGGGTGGGCCAAATCGACATGGGGGACGCGTCAGGGCACGTCCGGGCCTCCCCATACCTGCCCCAGAGTTGGAACGGGTATGAGGGATATCGATCAGCCCGGGTGTATAGGGCCGATGTGAGGAGCTCGTCTGGGTCACGGTTTAATGATCGGGCACTATCCGGCCGCCCGCCAGCTCATTTTGGGGAGCCCGACTGTAGATGCTCAAAGGGCATATCCAACGCGGATCATCAAACCTTCCCTATATGTCTAGACCGGATGTACCAGGAACCCTTAGGCCTCCAAAGTGGACCCTCATTTTGGTCCGACTCCAAATCAGGTGGAGCTCTAGGGGAGTCCGGACGTCTGTCACATCAGACACCGACATCTCGGTCCCACCCAAAACCTATCCGACGATCGCATATTCTCACAATCCGCCCACCCTTCCCATGCCAGACTTCGCCATTTTTGCCCCAAATGTTGTCGCCCCCACCCGTTCAGTCGTCTACCGCTGCCGCGATGGATCTGCCGGAACCCAGCACCATGTTCATCCTCCCACCAGATCCAGAGCCCGTACATCCCTCATCCGCGCCGGTGGATATGGAGACTATCAAACGGCAAGACCAACGCGTGAGGACGAGGGAGAAGGCGCATGCGGCCGATCAGGCCCGAGCTCCTCCGCCACAGCACCCTGCATGTCGGTGCCGCCCGGGCAACATCCCCCTTGTCTGCACAGTTCAAGCCGCATCACTCCACCGCCTCCTTCACCTCTAGCGGGCCTCCACCATCACCGTCGACCTCAATAGTTACTACGTGTTCACCGAGTCACTGACGCTCATCCTCCGATCGCGGTATCTATCAGAGGAGCCCTTGTATGCGGACTCCCAGTCACTGTATCGCATAATGCCCCCCCGCCAAGCTCTACGGCGGCACGAAGACAAACAACTAGATGATCACTATTGGCCATAGCCAGAGCCAGAGCCATCGACGGACACCCAACAGCTATCGATGCTCGATTCAGATGCGAAGAAGAGGGGTTTGGCGTACTTGAACAAGGAGGACAAGTTGTTCTATTTGGTTTGGTTGGGCACAAGTGCTGATCTGTTTCATAGTGCAGAGCAAAAGGGCTTGACTTTTTGGCAAGGTGTTCATGATTGGTTTCATGAGAACAAGCACTACGAGCCCTACAACAAGGAAAAGATCAATGATCGAAATTTGAGCTCGATAAGTCATCGATGGTACACCATTCAAGAGGTCGTCAACAAGTATTGGTCATGCGTATGCACAAACACAAAACTGGTGGCCAAGTGGTGTCGCACTCCACAAACTGGTGGCCAAGTGGCCAAGTTGCTTTATGTGTTGGTCATGTGATTTTTTTTGCTCTATGATGCAACTTGTTGATCATGTGATTGTATTGCTTTGCTAGCCCGAACGCGCATCGTTATACCACAAGAATGAGCGCAAGCCATTCCCCATGCTCCGTTGTTGGTGCAAGTTGAATGGCCAAAGCAAGTGGAGCAACATTGCTAGTTCCGTCAAGACCGCCAACGCCAAAGGGGGTGAAGTTGGTGATCCAAGATATGGAGTTGAAGGAGGGCTTGCACCGGCCACCTGTGTGGCTAGGTCGAGGGGGCATGGGAGATCGAGAAGGAGAAGCAAGAAGGGGTGCGACCAAGATTACTGACAAGTTTGAGGATATCATGGTGAAGAAGGGGGAGGTATGCCCAAGCGTAATGAGCTCAAGGAGGAAAAGAAGGTGGAGAGGTTTAACATGTTCATCAAAATACAAAGGAAGAAGATGGAGCTCACGCGAGGAAGCTTGCAGTCAAACAAGCGTGCGAGGAGCAAAAGATCTTGTAAGTGAAGGCCGACGACTTGGATCCTGATGTGGCAAAGTTTGTTCACGAATTGTGTCTACGGTGGCGTCTACGCACGCTATGCGCAAAAGGAGGCGGGAAAAAACCCCGAGGAATGAGGCCTTTGGTACGGACATCCAGTGCTTTTGCTAGCGGTTTGATGGAGATATAAAACTTATTGAACATCCAGTGCTTTTACTATTAGTTGCATCTGTTTGCGACTATTTAAATGTATCGTCGAATTGCTTTTAATCAAGAAAAATTGACAAAGGAGGAGGCCAGACAAATAGGGAAAATTTTGAGGGATAGCATTGGATGACGTCTGCCTGGCCTGATGTCAAGTGTCCACGGACATTTGGCGTCCGTTTGATGAACACCGTTGGAGATGCCCTAACCAAACCAATCATGTGTTTCTAGTAAAAGAACTTCATCTCCATCAATCATGTCTAGCAAATCCATTGAACCGTTACTTTGAAACAATCTGTAAAGAGTTCATGAAGCAAAATAATTGAAAACTCATTCTTTGACAGAGATCTTAATTAGGTTTTGTCTGTATTGGTGACACGGGGCACTCAGCCATCAGGAGCTACGTAAGATCCAGCCATTATCATAAGGTCTGTATATAACAAGCAATATCTGACAGGTCAAATGTTAGTGAAGCCAGGCAAGTGCTGGTTCAGACACAGGACACATGTCTTGTGCAGAGAGATTAGGAATCTATTAGGTCAGGTCTTCCATTTGGAAGCATTAATTACTTCTTCTACCTTGGGATGCTTCATGTCGTGATGTGCACGAACAAACTATTTGGACCCTACTGTGCATACCATGTGAGTGAAGCCAACTGCGCTTCACATCTTCAACAAACAACAATATCTGCAACTGCGAGCACAAAGGCACTCCTCAAACATGTCTTGTGGAGATAAGCCTGAACTAACTGAACTTTGTGGTTCAGAAAACCTCAACCAGTTTTTGTCTAGATGACCAATGAATAGAAATGGAGGTGCTATGCAATGCATGAACATGTGTTCCAACTCCCAACTGGGTGTGTGCGATGCGGAGGCATTATCCGAAACAACATGTGTCACAAGCAATCAACTTTCTTCTCAATTTCCCAATTTTCAGAAAATTACAGAAGCAGAGACACTGTTTATGAATCATCAAAGTAGAAAAACACTAGACAGTTATGGCACATAATGATCATGTCCATAGGGACTCTTTCTTAAGGCACGCCTCCTGCAGCAGCAGCGTGCTCATCAGATCATTCTGCATGACGAGGCTGCTATACGCCTTGTCATCATCATCCATCTGCATTTGCTGCTGCTGCTGCACCTGCCGCTGCTGAAGCTCTTGCAGATGAAATGCAGACGCCGGGGACGGGTGGTTGATGCGCTGGAGGATCTCGGCCTGCGCGACGGCGAGCTGCACCTGGAGCTGGGAGACCTGCTGCTGGAGGTAGGAGATGGCGCCGGCACATCCGTAGACGGGGTCCCGCATCCGCGCGGTGGCCTCGTACACCAGGCTGCTCACGGCATCGGCCCGCTGCGCCGCAGGGAGCTCCTGTAGCATCTTGCTCACGTTGCTGGCGCCGAAGACCCGGTGCACGGTGGCGAACCGGTGCGGGTCCTCTGGCGGGAAGTAAGGCGCGAACACGCAGTCCCTGGCACACCGCCGCCGCAGGAGCTTGCATGACGCGCACGGTGTGGCGCTGCTCCCGGTCTGAGCCCCGGCCATGGCAGTGCTTGCTTTCCTATTTGCTACGGGGCTTTAGAGGAGAGAAGAGAAGATAGAGCAATGGAAGGAGATGGTTGCAAAGGGGGAGGGTGATGGGTGCAGAGCTTGGCCTTTTTATAGAAGAAGCATCCAGCCAGGAAGGAAGATGGAGGCTAAGCTAGGTGTCAATGAGGGAGGTTGGCTGCTAAGTCCATGCACACCCTCGTTAATCAGGACAAACAAACAAGGATGATAAACTAGTTTAGTGATGGTTTTGCGCTAATTAATGAGCTCTGTCATGTTGCTTGCTGGATCACATTCATCTAGCGTAGAATAGGTGTAGAGCCATGTACTTACTGGTACTGCGTGCAGTGTGTGTAAAGGCTTTCTGCCTTGTTTGTCTGTATTTAGCAGCAAAGGTTGATTATTAGCTAGTAATCTATCTATGCATCCTCCAATGGTCGTCATGATCTGGCAATTCTGCTTACCATTCACTTCACGCGGCACCGCCGGCCACACTTAGCTGGCTGTAGAGTCTGGATCAATATTTGACCCTGCATGCATGCACGTTCAGAGTTGACCTTCCATTAGATGAAACACACACTATGACACTGGAGATTTCATTAGCATTGCCGGTCTGATCCGTCTGACGCACGCTGTTAACATGTACTTGTTTAATCAACCTAGCTAGCTTCCCCGCAAAAATGAGGTGAAGATCGAAGACTTAGCACCAACATGCATTAATTAGAGAGGAAGCAGTGTTACTAGCTAGAGCTAGCCTAGAGGTGAATAATTATCAAGTCGGCAAGGGAAATGGCGGGGCTCGACGTGAGGATGTCTGTTTCACTCTTCTCTACAAATTGGTGAGGTACTACTACTAGCTTCAATTCAATCTTCAATGCTAATCAACTACAGTACTAGCACTACTAATCAAATACAGTGAGAAAACAACAGATACCAGTATTTGTCTATCCCATACGCATATTAAATAGATCATGCCAAGACCAGGAGAAAACCTGACACGTATGAACGCCCGGCCCTAGAACAGTGCTGCTACATCATCATCATGCGGACAGGGAGAGATTGGGGATTTGTCCTGCACTAGAACGGCACTGCTACATCATCGTATGGAAGCATTTCTATAATATACATGTCAATAATAGCATTGGTAGCTAGAGACAAGTATCCGCAATGTCTGATGCTAGTCATGAGGTACGTACGTGCACCCATGCGGCCATGTCCAACGCATTAAGGCCTCGTACCAACTTGTGATGCAGACTGTGCAACCACACCCTATACCTCTAGCTAACCCGGTTGTGTTTCCAGTGTGGATGACAGGACAAATTCATGCTGGAGCTACACTACAAGATGCATAGTTTGCCTAGAAGGATTATTGCTGCCTCAAAGAAGAGAAACAAGAAGCATAGTATACTATCTGTATCATATACTATCAGCATGTACAAAAGTCTTGCCTCTCATGCATCGATTTTCATCTGTCGAGAGAAAAAAGAAGGCATATTCTTTCTCTGTGTTCTCGTGTACTGCAGTCTGCAGCGTCCTCCTTTGTGAGTGCATGGAAAAAGGAGTACTACAAAGTACCGAGTCCTGACCCAGGAAGGAGGCAGGATTTCTAAAGTTGTTGCGATGCGTGCATGCACATGCACGTTGCTATCAAAACTCAAGAAAGTTCGGGCATGCATGTTTCAGTTTCACCCTAAATAACTAACCTGCCGACAATGTTTCACCGCCAAAGAGCTAACCCCAAGAGACCCTTGCAAATAAGTCTTCACAGTTGCTGCTTAATTTCAAAGTCCAAACGGATCCATCACATGGTTTGGTAAACTCACTGGACTAACAGAGCCACCCACGCATGGCCAGTCTACAGCAGACAGGCCGTAGTCTGATTTACCTTGTGTGTTTTTACCACCCTCTATCAATCCGCGGGTTATTTTCCAGGCACTAAGACTAACCCACAGTGTAGTAGACTTTTTCTTTTAACTTTCCTAGGGCACTGGAACATGCAACAGACATCTCCTTTCCCCAACACGACGACTTGTTCCCATCCCATGTAAACGCCTCCAATTGGGTAGACCCTGCCATTCCGCAAGGAAAAAAGGACAGAGGTTCCAAGATTCCATCTATCATGATGGACCTGGACCACTAGCTAACTCATGTTAGGTTCGCCTTGTGTGTGCATGTGCCTCTGGGATCAAACTTCAGACTTGGGTTTAACCGACACTGCCACATGTTAAGTGTCTGACGTTACAGGGTAACTCACATGCTTAATTCACTCTTCATTCTCACTACCAACCTTTTAGGTTTTCATGTGTTTCCAAGAGAGCTTTCTTTCTATTCTGAATTCTCTAAGGTAAACTGTCCTATTGCTCAACGAAACATAGCCAATGCCATGTCTTATGATTGTCTTTTCTGTTAGGCTCAACAAGTCAATAGCACCTTTCCATGAAGTTAAATGCACAATATTTCCCTACCGAATTATCTCAAAAGAAAAGACATTGTAGCATAAGCATCATTTCGCGTGATCCTAATATGTACAAATATGTAGAGCATAAAATCAGTCTAGCTTTTTACTCTTCATAGCAGTACACAGCGAATACGGCAGTGACAGTAGCAGAGGCCAAAGGTAACATACTCGTTATGTCAGATCCAAGACTCGTACACGATATGAATATCAAATCTCCGAGCGAAAAAACCTCACCTAATTGAGTTTGATATAACAAAGAAAATCATAATATTAAGCAGTATTCTACACTTTTGTTTAGCTAATGAAGCAGACTCCTACATGGTTATTGGATAACCACACTTCATCTAATCAGATTGTGCAATAGACAATTAGCAAAAACATTGCTAGTGCAATGAAGCCATGGGAGAAAAGTCGTTGGGCATCGCTTAAGAAGAATGACAAGTGTGACCAAAAATTAGTTTGGTTTCATGCCTGGGAGATCGATCATGGAAGCCATTTTCTGGGTGCGACAACCTATGAAGACATACAGGGAGCAAAAGGACCTGCATATGGTGTTCATTGACTGGAGACGGCCTACGATGAGATACCGCGGAATGTCATGTGGTGGGCCTTGGAGAAACACAAAGTCCCAACAAAGTACATCACCCTCATTAAGGACATGTAGAATAATTTTGTGACAAGTGTTCAAACAAGTGATGGCGACACTGTTGACTTCCCGATTAAAATAGGCCTGCACCAAGGGTCAGCTTTGAGCCCTTATCTTTTTTGCTTTGGTGATGGATGAGGTCACAAGGGATATACAAGGAGATATCCCGTGGTGTATGCTCTTTGCGGATAATGTGGCTCTAGTCGATGATAGTCGGATGGGAAATTAATAGAAAGCTAGAGCTATGGAGACAAACCTTGAAATCCAAAGGTTTTAGGCTTAGTAGAACTAAAACCGAGTGCGGTTTCAGTACTAGTAGGCACGAGGAGAATGAGGTTAGTCTTGATGGGCGGGTGTACCTCAGAAGGACAACTTTCAATATTTGGGGTCAAAGTTGCAAAAGGATGGTGATATTGATGAAGATGTGAGCCATCGAATCAAAGCCGGATGGATGAAGTGGCGCCAAGCTTCTGGCGTTCTATGTGACAAGAGAGTGCCAAAAAAGTTAAAACGCAGGTTCTGTCGGACGGTGATTCGACCCGCAATGTTGCATGGCGCTAAGTGTTGGCTGACTAAAAGGCGGCATGTTCAACAGTTAGGTGTAGCGGAGATGCGCATGTTGAGATGGATGTGTGACCACACAAGGAAGGATCGGGTCCAGGATGATGATATACAGGATAGAGTTGGGGTAGTACCGATTGAAGAAGCTTGTCCAACGTCGTCTGAGATTGTTTGGGCATATTCAACGCCGGCCTCCAGAAGCTCCAGTGCATAGCGGACGGATAAAGCGTGTTGATAATGTCAAAAGAGGTTAGGGTAGACCAAAGATGACATGGCAGGAGTCTATAAAGAGATATCTGAAGGAGTGGAATATCACCAAAAGAACTAGCCATGGACAGGGGTGCCTGGAAGCTAGCTAACCATCTGCCAGAACCATGAGTTGGTAGTGCGATCTTATGGGTTTCAGCTCTAGCCTATCCGAACTTGTTTGGGACTAAAGGCTTTGTTGTTGTTGCTGATTGCTAGTGCAATATGCATTTAAAGATTGTATTGGTGGATACGCTGTACGCTTACAGCAATATCGTATTTTTTGTATCATTGCCTGTTATTGGCCGTTCAGTTCTGTTATGACCGGCCAGGTCTATGGCCGCCGCAGGCCCAACAGGTAGGCTTAGGCCCGCAAGTTATCTTAGTTTTATTCAGATTAGGCAAGTTATCTCAGGATTGATTCTTCTACAAGTTATCTAGGATATAAATATAGATTGTAAGACTCTTTTGGATGCAAGCAATAAAGACTATTATTATCTTTTGTTGCCCGGCTCCTAGAGGAGCCGGAAACCCTAGCCGCCGCAGCCTAGCCGCCGCCGCCCTCAACCCTAGCCGCGACGGCGCCCTGCCGCCGGCGCGCCCGCTCCTCGCCGCGCCCACTTCCTCCTTGCCCCTACAACCTACGCAGTAGAGCCGGTAGGAACCCTAGTCCTACCAATTTGGTATTCAGAGACCACATTGCGATCATGTCGATGCCGCCATCACCGCCGCCGTTGCCCGTCGGCACCACCGCGCCCATGACGACAGCGCCAAGCATCACCGCGCCGACCGCATCCGCCGGGACATCGCTGGCGTGTCCCGTCTCCTCCTCGGCACCACCTGCACCGGCGTCTCCGGGCGCATCTCCACCATCGCCGCTGGCCGCCTTGTCTCCGGAGCAACTCGCCGCCACGCTACATCACCTCGTCACCGCCGTCCACGGGCTTCAGCTCCACCAGCAATATGGGGCCGGGGCCTATGCTCAACCGCCATCGGCCCCGATCGCCGCCCCTGGTCTTCTCCTACAGCAGCAGCCGCAGTACGGGGGCGGGGCGAGCCCCTTCGCGCCACCACCAGGACCGTACCAGGGCGCGGCTGCGTACGGCGGGCCCCCGTTCGGGCCGATCCAGGCGGGATTGGCATCCGGGCCAGCGCCGGCCGCGGCACCCCTCTGGCCTTTGCCGCCGGCCACCTCGGCCGCCTCCTGGCTGCAGCAGCCGCCGCCCATCGTCTGGCCGGTTCAGCAGACGCCGTTCCCCGCATGGCCGGCCCAGCAGCCGCCGCCGACGGCGTCCCAGGGCCTGCGTCCACCGCCGTTCTCCGCGCTCTCATCAGCCGGGACCACCTCGGGCGCGGCCTCGACTACCGGGTTACCGATCCATCAGGTCCGGTTTCCCCCATCCCCGTCCCCCCTGCCAGCATGGGCGGCGGGGTCTTCGCCTTCACCGGTCTACACCACGACCCCGGTTGAGCCGACTCCGTTTCCGCAGTCCGGCGGGCCATCCGACCCCGCCGGCCAGTACCCGGACTACTCCGATCAGGCACCTCCGGCTTCACTCTTCCGAGCCCCCGCGCCTGCTCAGCACGGCGGGCCGCAACAGACACCGCCGCGGTTCGCCAAACTCGACTTCGCCACCTACGAGGGCACGGAGGACCCCCTCAACTGGCTCAACCAGTGCGAACAGTTCTTTCGAGGGCAGCAGACGCTCGCTTCAGATCGTACCTGGCTCGCGTCCTATCATCTTCGAGGCGCAGCACAGACCTGGTACTACGCCCTCGAGCAGGACGAGGGCGGCATGCCACCGTGGGAGCGCTTCCGGGAGCTCTGTCTTCTCCGTTTTGGGCCTCCTATCCGCGGGAGCCGACTGGCGGCCCTCGGCCGTTTACCATTCACATCTACAGTGCAGGACTACGCCGATCGCTTCCAGGCCCTGGCATGCCACGCGCCGGGCGTCTCCGCGACCCAGCGCGCCGAGCTCTTTGTGGGCGGTCTGCCGGACCATATCCGCGTGGACGTCGAGCTCCGGGATCCCCTCGATCTCCAGACGGCCATGTACTACGCCCGGGCCTTCGAGCAGCGGGCCCAGGCACTGCAGCCGCCACTCGGACGGAGTGGCCGCCAGCCTAGTCGGCCAGCACCGACTTCCTCAGCCCCGGGTCGGCCTCTCCCATCCGCGACGGCCACATCCCCGGCTGCCACACGGCCCTTCCGTCGGCTGTCACCGGCTGAGCAGCAGGAGCGTCGCCGTCAGGGTCTCTGCTTCAACCGCGATGAGCCCTATACGCCGACCCATGTCTGCCCCCGCCTCTTTTATTTAGAGACGGTCGACTACACCGAGGAGAACGACTCGCCCGACCCGTTACATCCGCCTGCGATGCCCGAGGACGCGGCCGCGGATTCCGCAGCGACGGCGTGCGTCGTCTCCCTTCACGCCCTGGCCGGCATCCGGGGCGAGCAGACCATGCTGCTGCCGGTGACGATCCATGGCGAGCGCCTGGTGGCCCTGCTAGATACGGGCTCCACACACAACTTTCTGCCCGAATCGACCATGCGTCGGCTAGCCCTCCCGACGACGGGCGGGGAGCGCCTGCGGATCACAGTGGCGAACGGTGATCGCCTCCGGTGCCATGGGCTAGCCCGCGACGTTCCCATCTCCATCGGCGGCGAACACTTTTCCATCACTTGTGCAGGGATCGATCTCGGTTGCTTCGACTTCATCCTCGGGGTGGACTTTCTCCGGACCCTCGGCCCCATCCTATGGGATTTCGACGCACTCATGATGACATTCTGGCGGCAGGGCCGCCGCATCCGGTGGGAGGGCATTGGGGGCGCCGCGGCTGCCGTGCCACATCTCCAGCTGGCTGCCGCGTCCTCGGAGGCTGAGCACCCCCTGCTGGATTCTCTTCTGGAGCAGCACAGCGACCTCTTCGACGCTCCGCGGGGTCTTCCGCCTGCCCGGGTGTACGACCATCATATTCACCTCGTACCAGGCTCCACTCCGGTGGCGGTACGGCCCTACCGCTACCCCCAGCTGCAGAAGGATGAGTTGAAGCGCCAGTGTGCCCTGATGCTCGCCGCAGGCATCATCCGGATCTCCACGTCACCCTTCACGGCGCCGGTGCTTCTCGTCCGTAAGTCCGACGGTACATGGCGCTTCTGCATCGACTACCGCGCCCTCAACGCACTCACGCTCAAGGACAAGTTCCCTATACCGGTGGTCGACGAGCTCTTGGATGAGCTCCATGGGGCACGCTTCTTCACCAAGCTCGATCACGCTCCATGGGGCCCTGCCGCCGGCGCGCCCGCTCCTCGCCGCGCCCACTTCCTCCTTGCCCCTACAACCTACGCAGTAGAGCCGGTAGGAACCCTAGTCCTACCAGTTCAAGCAAGAGGTGATTATCCTATCATTATCATTTCATTTCAGGAATCCAATGCTATCAAGAAAAATACTTACGGAGAACAGGTGTTAAGTTGTGGATGGCGTGGTAAAAGATATGGAACAGGAGTTCCACACAGCACATGCATGATACCAAAGAAAATGAACATGACTGACGCGCACATGCTATTGACAGAGACCCCACATATCTGTTTTGCATAATAAGACGTATGCCGTGACATAGTTATCTTACAGAAAAAAGATCAAAGTGGTCTTCTTTTGATCAAAGCACTAATCATTGCAATCTGAGAAGGAGACACATATAGAGGTATGGGTGTATGTAATGAAGGAACGTTAATGACGGAGAGGAACAACCCCAGCTATCTAGGTAGCCTGTAAATATTCAACCAATATCTGTGATGAAACAAAATATATATTGGTGTTACATGTTGCATATGCTCAATAAATACTAGACTGGGAAGTTCAAAGCTACTGTAGGAAACGACAAGTAAAACTAAGGCATGAAATTCACCTTTTCTACCAAAATGGCTTGGAAAAATGATCAAGCCACTCTTCTCAGTCTTGGGGAAAGGCCACGCTGATAATGCCCGAAATCAAACCTCTTCAAAGTTTCTCTTGCGGCTAAGTAGTAGTTTTTGTGAGTTCCTTGTTTTGATCCCCAGCCTAAACATCAAGTTCGCCGGTAACTTCGGTTTTTCTGAGTGTAAATTGCACTTTTCACTAATGCCTGAAGTTTTCCTTTTCATGTATTCTGCGGATTGCGTCTGAACTGTGACAGTACAGGCAGCAGTATTAAAATTTGAAACTCAATTTAAAAGATCAAAAAGAAGATTCATTACCCTGACTATTGCAAGGTTTAAGTTATGCTATGCTATCCAACAGCTTCATGAAGACTACATGATCATGAATAGAACGTGTATTCACTCTTGGCATTGTTATTTCTCCAGTTAAAGCAGGAACAGTTTCTCAACACATAATTTACACTATTCATGGCATTACAGAACTGACCAGAACGCTGTGCAGATAATGACTTGGCCAAGGTTTGGAGTCCTCTTATATCATTGACCTTGTTCTTCTTCAGAGTCGAATTAGTAGAGTCCAAGTGGCTGGGGTGAATGTGCACAAGAGCATTTGCAAAAGCCTAGAAGTACATTAAAAAAAGGTAACACATGTAACAGATGAGATTAACAATACAATCAGGGGTCATTCAGAATACAAAGTTGCAGTTCAAGCAGCACAATACACTTCTCCAGAATATTTAACCACAAAGAGCTGATCAGACTGACATGCTAAATATCATCAATTGACGAGACTGTATCTGATTTTAACTGATAGAGGAAACAGACTAAACAATTCGGTCAATGTCGTTCTCCGGAATGATCTATGTTTATATGTGCTCAGTTGTACAAAGTACAAACAACACCACTATAAATAGCACAATCATCAAACACCTGTCATCACCTCATTCAAAGTAAGTGATAATAGGGATGCATTTTCATTTGAATAAGTTGGTCAGTTTTCACTTTCTGGTTAAGACTAAGTTATAAGACTAACATGCTGAGGTATTAAAATGTTCAATATGTCAGTAAGGCAGTACATAAAATTATTATCCCCTGGGAGATTTATTTCTACCAGGATTAAGCCATCAGTTTTTGTCATGCCGAAATTATACCACATCACCAGTTTTATTATCAGAGAAAAATTATACTTGAAAGACAGCATCACTCTATCCAATAATCAGAATCTGTTCCAGTCTACATTTCATTTTTAAGCTAGATAGCAATGTAAAACAGACAAGAGTGCAATGCAGAGAAATACTTGCTAGCTCTTGAGAGATCAGGTTATATAGAACCAAGAATATGTTTTATGATCCGTTACAAGTTGACCACTTCCTTGAATTATGACAATATTTCTGAATCATGTTTTTCGCCAACACCCTGGACCATTAGTAGTACAAGCAAATGATGCTTGAGGTTAACTCTGTATTGCTTTTGGACAAAGCTAGAACGAAAGCCAAAATGAGCTGTTAAGCATGAGTAAGACTCTGTAGGCAGGGCCTTAAGCAAAATTTGGGCCTAAGGACATTCAAACTACTAAGACTAACTGCAGTGATAAGTCAATGTAATAGGGTAGGGATTATAACCGTACAAGGAAGAATCACCGATAGACTGAAGATAATATGCAAGCAACACCAACATCTTAGGCTATTTTCAGTCAACTAATACATGACAAGTGAAGAGATGCTACAGCACAATCAGACTGTGGACTACCTTGGAAGCAATGGTGTAGAACCCATTATCAAGAGAGTCCTGTGCAAAGGTTAACCATTCTTCATGGAACACATGCAGATCAAGGTCGTCGGAGTATTTGGCCTCTCGCAGAACCAGCGCCTCATATCTCATAGCAAGGCAGCTCTGGCAGTATACGTTAGAACAATTAGTGAAGTGACAGTGAACAAAATGAAACACAGTCTGTTACCATCCAAAGAGCTACGATGGCACTATCAATTCCCAAGAAAAATAAAGAATAAACCGGTCATCATTGATAAATGATCTGTGCCGGGGTGTATACTGAACTGAAGCACTGAAACAGCATCATAAATCGAACCCTGAAACTGCACCCCAGATCACACATGCCGCAGCACACGCTTATACTGAAACTGCGTCACAAATCAAACCCTGAAAAACTGCATCCCAAATCACTGCATGCCGCGGCACCCTCCATACTGAACCGAAGCATTGAAACTGCACCCCTAAATCAAACCCTAGAGCGAAAACAACAGGGTGCTGGACCACACAGTGTGCGCAATTTGTCCTCACCTCGACATCTCCCGAGAGGGCGAAGGCGCGCGCGAAGAAGTCGGCGACGGAGAGCCTCGCCCCGTCCCCCTCGACCGCAGCCGCGGCGCACGCCCCGGCCACGCTCTCCCGCAGAAGTTTCCGGGCTGCCGAGCGCGTGCTGAGCAGCGCCGCAACGTCGCCGCCGGCGGAGAGCGCCGCCTCCAGTACCCGGAGCTCCTCGTCTCCGAACCTGCGCGATCGACGCGGGGAGAGGTTGAAATGGGAGGTTGTGGAAGCTGGAGCGGGAAGGCGATGGAGCGCGCGTGCGTGCGTACCTGTGGTGGGAGAGGCGGGAGGCGAACAGGGAGAGGGCGTCGGTGATGGTGCCGCCGCCGTGACGCTGGTGGGCTGTGGTGCCCTCCTGCTCCATCGCCATACGCTTTTTCGTTGTGGTGGTTTGATTTGATTTGAAACTCTCAGGTCGAAGTTGGCAGGTACAGTATTTATTCGGCCCGTTTAAGCTGCTTTTTTGAGACGGTATGATATGCTGAATCCGGCCCGTAGGCACTTCCATGGCAAATTGTTTAGCTTTATTTTTTTCTTTTTTGCGATCACTTTAGTTTCTACTCTTCCCCCAAAAAAGAAAACTTTACTTTCAACCCATTATAAGGGCCTACTTGATTCGCACAGTTTTTAAAAACACGAAAATAAGAAGAGCGTAGCATTTCACTGTGGTGATATATTGAATCTTATAGGAACCGAAAACACTGAAATATGCAATGTAAGTTGCTTGATTGCCTAACAAGAAAAATGCAGGAATTTTTTCAATAGCATTAGGTGTTTGACATAGTTGTTGTAAAAACAAAGAAATTTACAGTGGCAAGCGCAGTCAGCAATCTTCAAATCATTCAAGAAACAAAAGAAATTTGCCATGAGGTTGGACTCAACGAAAATTTCCCATGATGCATTTGCATAATAGATGGTACCCATGTGACTGCTGGAGTGACAGAGATCACAGGTTGCATCATACAGGGGTAGAAAGCACTCCACAAGCGAATGTGCTTGTTGCTATTGTCTTTGATCTGAAGTTCACATATGTATTAGTTAGCTGGGAAGGATCAACCCATGATGCTAACATTCTTGCCGACAGCATGGCTCGACTTGATGGCATTAATATCCCCGATGGAAAATTCTACCTAGGAGATGCTTGCTATGCATGTCGGCCTAGCGTTCTTCCACCCTTCAGCACAATGAGGTACCATATGAATGAGTTCTCTTGAGTAACTATCCTAGGACTGCACGGGGATAGTTCCATTTTAGACACTCTAGCCTTAGAGTTATAGTTGAGAGTGCATTTGGAGGTCTGAAGAATAGATTTAAGATCCTTGACCAGAAGTCATTCCACCCTTTTAGGCTTGTTCTTGCATGTTGCATCCTTCATAAGTGGATCCTATAATGGTTTTGTGATGAATTTGTGCCAGGAGAGGAAGATGTGATGGTTGTTGATGATGATGATACTCCGGCCATGGTGTGGACTCATTTGACAATTAAGCTTGGAAGAGCAAAAGGGTTGGAGTGGACTGAGGCAATGGGCAAACAAAGGTAACACAAGGATCTGATGAAGAAGAAGCAACAGTAGAAGATTCAGGAGTAGCAGAGGATGCATCAGCATCAGAGGAAGATGCAACAACAGAAGAATAAACAACAACATGAAGAAGATGGGAATGGACTTCCCCCTAGTTGGGCACAGATGAACTTTCCCCTATTGAGCCATATGGCTGTTAATTTCTACTGTAATTTGTTAGTATCTAGGATGAACTGCCATTTCTTTAATAGCTGACTGAAACAATGATTTATTCAAACTTCATATGTTAGTGTCATATGTGGTAAGGTCGTCACTAGTGAGAAGAGGTGAGCACAATATAGTCCATGCACAACCAAACACCGCGTAGTACATCAGCCCAGCCCAACGCAAGCCATCAAATGATAGGGGGAAATTGCTTCCCTAATGCAGCCAACCTACATGTAGGGTGCCAACCTACTCAACCACTCCCAACCGAGTCACAAATGCAAAAACCCAAAAATGATGCAACCTATCAAACAGGTCCTTGAATATGGACTTTGATCATTACTTCGTGACTTGTGAAGGTGTCAGGGAGAGGCTAGGGTGGCGTGGCTCTTGGTGTATTGTTGTGTTTTCCCTTTGGATCCTCCTCCGATGCACGTGGGGTGTTTGTGGGCTAGGTTATATCGTATAGTGCATGAGTGGGGTGGTCTACTTATCGTTTTCTCGAATTAAATTGCCTTCTTTCTTTGATGGGGTCTTAAGGTGGCTATTTTTTGTGTGAATTTTTTTATATGGGGACAAAAGGAGATGCAGGACGGATAGGCCAAACTATGGCTTTAGAACATCTATAGTCGGATTTGGCAAATCCGGGCCCCTAAACATCTACGGACGTGTCGGGCGCTACCCGGACAGCAGTGGATGACCCCTCATATGTCCTGCTGGACAGCCACACTACTCGTGTGTAAACCCTCAAATCCATGCACCTGGATCATATAGCATAATTTCATCACAATTTAACAATGCAATAAAGCAAAACAATTCACAATTCAACAATATGTACATGTCAAAATGAAATTCAACGTCCAGGCCACAACTGGACAACGTGATGAATCACTCCCCAGACGCCATCCATGTCGCGTGCTCTGCCACGACCGCCGGCTGTGCCTTGTCCACCGCCTCATACTCTCTAGCATGTTGATCTTCTTCTTCCTCCTCTCAAGCTAGTTATTGCCTTCCTCATCCAAGAGGCTTGCGTCCGCCAACATTATCCTCGAATCCTCCCTGTCTTGAGCAAGTTGCAACTTATCCTTCTCAAGCTCTATTGATCCAATACTCCAGGCCTTCTCGAGCTCCCATTTGAACATGCATCTTTCTTCTCCAAATATGCCTTCTCCCTCTTGATTTACAACTTTTGTTCTCAATTTGCAACTTGTTTCTCACCCTCTCCCGGTTCTAATTCATCCTCTCCTTTTGCACATCCAACATGCACTCACATACCTCTCTCTTTCTTGTTCTCCCTTGTGGAAAAAAGGCTCGTCCATGTGAGGAACACTTTTGTCATCGCGGGGTCATGGGCGGCCCTCCCCTTCTCCCATTTGTTTCTTGTCACTTTTCGGTTATTCATTGGCACGGTTACTCGGCAATTCTCCCCAATAACTTCTTCATCTTCATCATCCAATCCAATTGATTGGTTGGAGCTTAAGCCCTCATTTTTCTTCAATCTCTTGTTTCCGGCTTTGAGGTCTTTTCCACAAGTTGATTCCACTTTGCTTAGACATTCAATTTCATCCAACAATGACTAAAACGAAATGTTTTCTCCTTAGTTTGTTGGTAAAAGTGGCCACCAACACCATCTATCAATCAATAAAGTAGTCATGATAATCTGGCAAAAATAGCAATTCAAATTATGATGAAGTGAAGCAATTCAACTTATGTGACTTTGGACTCTAGTCCCACTTTGATCCCAGCAAGCACGGAAGCATAGTGGCCGACAAGTTGTTCACGTTGTCTTGGATGATGGACCATCTATCTTGGAGAGAGGCAACATTACTAGCTGTATTGATAGGATACAATTCCACGTATTCCTTGTGTTCGTGATAGTGCTTGTGGATCTTCTCTAAATATGTGTTGCCCTTTTGCTCCATGCCACATATAGGGCTCATGCTTGTGGTCAACCAAGATTTCACCGATAGGACATCCTCAAATGTTGTGAATGTTGGACCTCTTGCCTTGGGTATATTTGCCTCTCTTTTTTCTTAATGTGCGATGTCCCCCCAACATCAAACCTAGGACAATTTGGATCCTCCAAGTCATATTCCATAGGGTCCCTAGGCTCTTGACCCTCATTGATCATGTCCAACATGAAATTCTACTAAAATGATCATGATTCCAAATAAACTAATGGAATATGCCACTAATTGATTCAATGGCATATGCAATTAATTGATCCAATGACATAGCGAATGTAACAAACGAAGGGATACAAAATGGAGCAAACTTTGTATCGTTTCCTGCTAGGGCATTCTGTCGAATAGGAGCTGGGGAGACCGGGCGCGCAGAGCCGTCCGTGCTTTTCCACGTCCGTTGGAGTTGCGATGAGTCACACACCTCGTCATCCCGCGCCTCTATTTGCGTAAATGCATCTGGAATCGCCCAGTTGGCCGTCGGTGTTGGGGAATGCAGTATTTAAAAAAAAAATCCTACGATCACGCAAGATCTATCTAGGAGATGCATAGCAACGAGAGGGGAGAGTGTGTCTACGTACCCTGTAGACCGAAAGCGGAAGCGTTTAGTAACGCGGTTGATGTAGTCAAACGTCTTCGCAATCCAACCGATCAAGTACCGAACGCACGGCACCTCCGCGATTTGCGGACGTTCAACTCGGTGACGTTCCTCGTATTCTTGATCCACTTGAGGCCGAGGGTGAATTCCCTCAGCACGACGGCGTGTTGACGGTGATGATGAAGTTACCGACGCAGGGCTTCGCCTAAGCACTATGACAATATGACCGAGGTGTAAAACCGTGGAGGGGGCACCGCACACGGCTAAAGATCAACTTGTGTGTCTATGGGGTGCCCCCCTCCCACGTATATAAAGGGGGAGGGAGGAGGAGGCCGGCCAGGGTTGGCGCGCCCAAGGGGGGGATCTGATACGTCCATTTTGCATCATGCTTTTATATCGATATTTATTGCATTATAGGCTATTATTACACATTATGTCACAATACTTATGTCTATTCTCTCTTATTTTACAAGGTTTACATAAAGAGGGAGAATGCCGGCAGCTGGGATTCTGGGCTGGAAAAGGAGCAAATATTAGAGACCTATTCTAAAGAACTCCAAAAGTCCTGAAACTTCACGGAAGACGTTCTCAAAATATATAAAAAATATTGAGTGCAAGAAGTTCACCAGGGGGCCACACCCTGCCCACGAGGGTGGGGGGCGCGCCATACCCCCCTGGGCGCGCCCCCTACCTCGTGGGCCCCCTGGTGGCCCTCCGATGGCCATCTTCTGCTATATGGAGTCTTTCGATGAGGAAAAAATAATAAGCCATCTTCTCAGACAAAACTCCGCCGCCACGAGGAGGAACCTTGGTGGATCCAATCTAGGGCTCCGGCAGAGCTGTTCTGCCGGGGAAACTTCCCTCCGGGAGGGGGAAATCTTCGCCATCGTCATCACCAATGCTCCTCTCATCGGGAGAGGGCAATCTCCACCAACATATTCACCAACACCATCTCCTCTCAAAACCCTAGTTCATCTCTTGTATCCAATTCTTGTCTCCAAGTCCGGGATTAGTACTAGTAGGTTGCTAGTAGTGTTAATTACTCCTTGTAGTTGATGCTAGTTGGTTTATTTGGTGGAAGATCATAT